TTCGCCTACGTCCAAGATAAATGGAAATGGAGCTCAGTGGTGTGTCCTGAAGCCAGATTAAAATGAGGATTTTTGGGCTTGCCTTGGATCTCTCACAGCCGCTCACATAGGAGCGAGTAATTTGCAATTGTTCCCAAACAAACATGAACAATAATGTCATACTAATTTCTGGTTTATGTTCCAAGAGTTGCTTAGTCATCGAAAGCGAAGTGATTTAGCTGCTTATTTTGCTGCCGTGCTTGCAAGGTCCCCGAACAAGACTAACCACCTGATACGCACAGCACTTAGCTTCTTGAGGCAGGTTGTCTGGACTCCAGCACATTCCCAACCTTATTTTTTGATAGCGATAAAAAATGAGACGTGATATATTTTCCAACCTGTATATTTAAAGCATTGTTTTCCAGGTACAAATTTAAAGCAAACGAACGCAGCAGGATGTATTTGTAGAAAAAAATTTCGGGTCAACTTGTTAACTGCTACTTGTCTTTGCATGAGTAAGATAATAAATGGGGAACAGAAGATTTTAAATTTTCACAGAATCAATAACAGCAAGATCATTTTTTCAACACGACGAATAGTCAATAATAATGTCGCCTTTAAACTTGAGAAGAAAAAGTAGAGACGGGAATTAACAAAAATAAAATGTTGATAAAATGTAGGCGAGCGATTACCAGGGCAGTTGGAGATTAGCCACATGGTCTACCTGTTTACATAGGTCGGGTTTTTCCCGCCGTATATAGGCTGCTTCCATGTAGCGCAAGGTCCGATTTGTTTGTGCTCGAACAAGAACTCGGAAAGATGCGTTGAGGTCAGCGGAGTGACTACTGTCTAGCAGGTGTTTTGTAGGGAGCAAATAAAAGCCGGCAAATTTAAATGGGGTCAGGTGGAGTTATGTTTGCGTCCAATATCGTATTCCTCCGACGTATTCGCCGTTGCGCAAGCGCACAGATATGACAGTCGACTGAGTCGTTGGTTGGATGCGCACTTGCCGACAGTCATTGGCGCGAAATCCGTTCGCATTCGATCGGCTCATATATGTCACGTGGTCGAACGCGAAGTTTTGACATGAAAAAGGCTGAAGGAGCGGCCACCACAGACGCTTTTTCGCCTCGCATCAAAACAGGCCTGGGTTCACGCCTCTACATGCGCACTTGTGTACCGATTTCACGAACAAAAATAAATTCGCCACTTATGACCTTCGTCCTACTCAGTACTTTGAACAGATCTTTGGATAGAACCCTAGCACAGCACAGCGCGTTTGTGTTCAGACCCACGATTCGATCTCCCTACCCTTCTTATCATCTTGTCGCAAAAATGAATTGGAAGAACGCCGAGAGGGGTTAAAATGGGGGAAAACTTGTATAAATTATCAAATTGCGCTCTTCGTGTTATCTGGCTGGCTTCGGGGGCGTTTAAGCATGACTACAGAGTTTCATTCGCGAAAGTAAAGTTCACTTTAGCATGCGATAATTATTATTCACCTGCCTGTAAGCGACTGTTTTACGTTTCCCATAGCCTAATAGTATTTTCTTCTCCAGTAATGAATTTGACTTCTGAAAGGATTTCGTTCAGGTGATTAATCTAATTTCCATTTTTTCATTGCATAGTGACCAAGGGTGTGTTATCAATGAACCCACTAAACGATTTTGTTCAATATTCGTCGTAATTCGGTGTTTTAATTCGCGACAATGCCATCTTACCTTAGAGGCAGGACTTATTCACGCCTGGATCCGCCGAAAGTAACACCGGTTTTCTAGCGACATTGTCATGTGATATCTCATTTTCACTCCACCATTCTATTTTTTATATTATTTGCTGTAGCAATATTTTATTCTGCAGAATGTTGGGAGATAAAGGTTGAAAACGGAGACCTGCTAGTTCATTGTTATTCAATCTCCGGGGGATTTGGTTTATTGCGTGAACAGGCATTTGGGCGTTAACTGCGAGACCATTTCTGTCGCAGTACATTCTTTGAGCTTGCCTTCCATTTGTATTTGGGTCCGATTTGTAGGCTAGCCAAAATACCTACTACAAGCGCAGTTCAAATCAAAATGGTGAATTTTTCTAGCAAACCATCAAATAAACAGATCTGTCATGACTTGGACATCGAAACAGGGGGCCTGGTTTGTAAATTTCAAAACTGTAGACACAAAAGCATCTTTACTGTTTGTCAACTTTTTCAAGTTTTTACCAAGCTTTTGTTTCGTCCAAGGTGGAACCTCAACAGCAGACCCCTGCCGTATGATAAGGCTGAGGCGGATGAGGAGTCGGAGTACTTTAATGCATCCAATGCCGTTGACAAACTCCCCCTGAATGTCATCAACAATTACTTCTCCCTCGGAGCGGATGCTGCAACGGCGTTGGAATTTCACGAATCTCGAGGTAAGACTCTCCATCCCATCCGACCCTTTTGATTTCTGTGGAGGCTGATTATATAAGTTGATGGACGTCTGCTTAGTTAAATAGACTGGAGGCGTGTTTATCTCCCATAGGTCAGAATACTGATCTAAAGATCGGTATTTGAGGAGGAAAAGAAGATGTGATCGCTTCTGCTACTGTTTCTTCTAATGTCTCTGATCGCTATTTGGTCAAGTGCTCACGCAAAATGGTGATGTACGTGCGTTTGAATTAAAAAGCACCGACTCTGCTACAGACAGTCAACTACGGTGTGGCCACAATTCTCGCGCGAGGTCGCATCCACGCGACGCGTGAACAGGTTGAGTCATGATTCACCTGTCCTGAGCACGGAGACAGCGTAATTAGCCGCATTTAGACCGCGAAGGCGAACAATATCGCCAATGTCACTATAATATTGGCAAACACATGTTTTTAGAAATTCGTCATCAGGCTGATGCCACTGCAGAGATTAAAAAGGTCCATTACGCGTAGTGTTTAAATGGTCCTCGAGGTAGGATAAGGCTTGGTAAACGAGAAAATCGATCGATTTCAAGTTCAATCCTCGCACACTTGATCGATATGAACCACGAATTTGACGCGAGAGATGACTTTCAAGCCACACACCAGGCACCGACACAATACTCTAAAGGCCTGCGCAAACGGGCGACCCCCGCAGCCGAAGCAGTGATAATCCGTGTAGCAAAGCCTCCTGTCGTTGTCAAAAGGCGCTGGTAGCGGTGGTTTGCCTAACCTGGCCGACTATGTGAGTGAATCCCATGCCGCTTGAACCCGTGCCATCCGAAAACACGTCACAAGTATCCACAGAGAGTAGCCAAACGCAGGCCGACCGTGAGAACATCCCCCCTCTGTCCTACTCGCCGGACCCATGGTCCTCAACTCCCTGGGGCCGGCATGCATGAGATGAAGGAACACCAAGATGGCTATATATACTCTCCCCTACCCCGAGGACTATTTAACCACTACAAATAACCGTATTAATCTCTGCAATTGCATAAGGCTGATGACGAAGTGCTGAAAACATGTGTTTGCCAATATGACTTCTCAATCGTAAAATGGAAGTATTTGCAGAATGTCAGTATCAATGAGTCAACTGACTCAATAGCTACTACGCCAACATATAACAGGGGTGAGGAAACTACGCCAATTAGTCCCTCGAATGCCAGGCCTCAAGCCCTTATCCTCTCAAGGGCAGTCATTTCTGACGCAGGGGGGGGGGCGTTAGTCTTGATAGGTATGTGTGATAGCATAGCGACTGCACACTTTACCCACTGACCTTGAGTTTGATAATGGGCTTCAGGCATTACACTGAAAATTCAAGCCATAATATTTCTTGTTACGGCGGCGTGAGCACGTCTTTGTCTTCTCAACTGCTTCCTGGGACTCGCATTTTTTCGCTTAAAACGTTTACCTACATCTGGATGGGCACCTCCCATTAATCATCTTCCCATAAGGATCCCATTTTATTGTGAAGCTTCGTCAGGTAGTTTATGTTGGAAGTATTTCAACTTCCACAATGAGTCATCTCACTGAAAAGCACGTGCATGAGCCACCGCGCTGCATGCCCTTGCAGCGTGCCCGGCCTTGACTGTGGTCACATAGAGCTTTCGCGCGATCTGATTGGTCAACCTCTGTGATAAGTCTTTCGGCTCTTTCTCATGCGGCGGACACTATAAATAACTGTATGCTTTTTCATTGGACAAGCTCACAGGTCGGGTTAATTATAGGTATCAGTCTATTCGTTCGCATAAAACTAAAATACTGTCTTTTTGGTTGAGTGGATAACTAAACGCCAACTTTGCGCTATTCCACTCACTACAGTGAGACAATGCAGGCCAGAACAACACCTACTTAGTTTTAAGTGACAGTAGGCTTTTGCGCTGGTACTACAGCACTATTTACCCTCACTCCTTATCTGGCAACCGCATCATCCACTGTCAACACCACAGGGCCAGATGGTCATTGCTGACGTGGCGAAGCAGCGCTCAATGCAGTCAGTTATAGATTTTTATACACGTTTACATTTTACGGCAAACTCTTGTACACACACTAGTATGACTGTCGGGCCACTGCGCCCCTAACTGTTTCACTCAGCGTTCAAACAATGCACGACGACGGCATCACGGTTTTCCGGTACATAACCATTGACATCGGGACGACAGCTGACGAGGAATTGGCT